AGTAGGGTCCATCCTGAGTGCGCTGTTTGATGAAATAGCCGATGTATATGGACCTGGAGGAGGCCTGGATCCAGAAGACGTTTACAACAGCTTGAAGGCCGAAATCGATAAGCTCAAAGAATACATGGATCAGGAAATTTTAGAAGCGAAATTGGAGGACATCAAGAACGCATTTGGAACGAGAAATGGAGGCATTCTCAGCTATGCGATGTACTGTCAGAAAACATACAAGAATGATGCAGAAGACATGGCCCCTTGTTTAGAGAATGTAAACGCTTTGCTGACCTCACAGTACCACAACTTCCTGCCACCAGATGGTAAACCGGTCAGTTTCTACGAGTCTTCCTTGCCATTGTTCCGCATGTATGGACAGCTGTATGTGGACACACTTCTAGAAATGATTGGTGCGGCAAGAAAGAGAGGCAAGGAGAGTCAAGCGGCTGCAAAGGCAGACACCCTGATCAACAAAGTGGCAAGATTCAAAGAGCATTATGAAGAATCTGTCAAAAAAATCAAAGCTCATCATACAGCGGTGCACATCATGCCGGAGAATAATGGAAACTGTGCACCTCTTCCACACGTCGGTGTTACTATGTGTGTCTGCTCGATAGCCATTGGACCCAACAAATTCGATGAAGCAGAGATCAAAAAGAAGGGCAAAAGTTCAAAAGACTGGTGTATTGGACTTTACTATAACAGTAACACACACCCTTGCTCGCGGGCCAAGAGGGATTACAAAACCGGTAGTTACCATATAACACGCGAACTTGCTATTCAATCCTACTGGGAGAAACAAGTGGGAGAAACAGTTATGAACTGGGTGAAGATAGCTAACGAGCTGAAACCACTGAAGGAAAATATGAAGAGGTACTAACACCACCAGTACTACAACAACTACTATAATTACTATTACCACTGCTACTACTGCTAATATTAATATTATTATTATTATTGTTATTATTATTATTATTATTATTACTACTACTGTTACTGCTACTACTTACACTACTACTATTACTGCCATTACTTTCGCCTAATAAATACAAAATTTACTATTTGTATGTTTTAGGTCACTGTCCTTTCGAGAGAGAATCCAGTTTGATCAGGAAGTCGCAGCTTACCATGCCAGAGTGAATCATGGGATGTAGTGACAAGGAACACAGGAGTGACAGCCAGCTGATGATTGATTTGAAAAGTGTGCGTCTTTTTTTAATGGATTGACCTAGTTAGTCTGTAATCGGTTTTTTTATCAAGCTGATGATTTTTTTTTTTCCCGGTTTGTTCGTTAAAATTTTAATCGTGAGTAATATTAGGGAAGTTAAAAATAGTTTTTTTTGTCTAATCCACGCTCATTAGAGCTTATCACGTTTCAAAAGTTTGTGAAGCGTTTTTTGGTAATGAGGAAAGAGGTAATGAATAAATTGGTGAGTTATCTTGGAAAATGGTGTTTTTTTTTCAAATGAGAATGGGAAGACAAACGGTGCGTATGGGTTGCTAGGTTGCTATTACTAAGCAAAGGTTTGATCATAAAATTACATAGACTCATAATGGGTGTGAGAAACCAAAATATTCTACAACTTCCAAGACTATTTTCCTCAGTGAGCTTGAGAGATATTATTCCGAACTTCAGATTCAAAAACCGCGCATAAAGAGCGAGTTACGTTCTTCGATTGCGTAAGTAAAGTACCACCCAACAGGATTCAGGGCTTTTCCTCTGCAAAAAGTTATTAAAAAGTGTTTTAACGACAAAAGTTCATGTTTGGCATTGTTATGTAAAACACCTTATTCCTTATTTGATTCTTGAATCAGCAAGGAACGTCAACCTTTAAAAAAAGAGCCTCCTATTAAAGGAAGAGTGAAAGGGTGAAAACAAACTTAAGAGTTGATCTCGAGGTGTTTGAAAAAAACGGGAAGTCTGCCTCTGACACAAGTAGTGGTTACATACGAGATAAATATCTGGCATCTTTATTTTGAACCAAAATTCTCAACACTTAAATCTTT